CATTCTTCCTTTCTTTCCCATCCTTTCTTTTCCTGCTATCTCCCTCCCTCCCTCCCTTCCTTGGTAGTCTGGCCACTCCACCAGGACAAGGGTAGGAGCACGGCCGATCACCCTGCCCTAAATCGGGGGTCTCCATCTCTGCCCTCTGGTATCACCCAATGTCGGTTGGTTGTATGGAGAGCACAAATAGGCTGTCTTGGGCAGGGAAGTGGGACGGATCGATAGGGTACATCCCGAATCCTAATTTTGCCTCGGCCTCGTTTCTTCCAGGTGCCAGCGCAGCACGAGGACCTCTCTCTCCGTTTGGCTCCTGGGCACTGGTGTGGCTGGACGGTGCGGGACGACACCATGCGCGAGAATTACGGCACCGCGATCGCTCTGGGTAAGTCGGGAGCTGCTCTCCCCCCACCCTAATTTTTCGGGATGGGAGACTGCCCCCCCCCCCGTCCCCCTTTGTGGCACTGCCCACCGGGGTCTTTCTCCTTTCCAGGCGCCCCATCCGCCAAACCAGAGACGGCCCCACAGGATGGGGGTCTTTTGCCAGACAAGGGGGCAGCGGAGACGCCCGAGACAGGTCGGTCCCGAGATCGAATCCTGGGATGATGGGGGTTGGAGGCTGATGGACAGAAGGCGAGGGGGAGAAAGAGGAGGAAGGGGAGGCTGTGGACCCCAAAAGTTGTTTTATTCTTGTGCGGGCCCAGGTGCCACTCAAGATGGTGGTTAAAGAACGTGATTAGGAACCAGGAGACGGGGAGTTCTAGTTTTGCCTTCAGCACGAAAGCCGGCTGGGTGACTTTGGGTCAATCACCAGGAGACAGGGAGTTCTAGTCCCACCCTAGGCATGAAAGCCAGCTGGGTGACTTTGGGTCAATTTTTTCTTTTATTATTATTTGTTTACTTTATTTTTATTTTTACTATTTTAGTTTCACTTCATTCAGTTTGATTTAATTTAAATTATTATTTTATTCTACTTTGTTTTGTTTTTTTAAAAAATATATTTTTTAAAAAAATATATTTTTTAAAAAAATTATTGGTTTATTAGAATCAGAATAGGTCTCTCTAGTCCAGGCCCCTGTTCAAGCAGGAGATCCTAGACCATTATGTTTATAGTTTATTAAATATGTATTATTTATTTTATTATATTTTATTATATATTTTATTCATAAAAATGTTTATATTTATAAATATATATTTATAAATATATACATATTTATAAATTATATATGTTTACATTTATAAATTACATATATAAATATTTGATTAAATATATATTAAATATATTATTTACACATGTAAACAATATGTATTTACTTTATTATTATTTATTTAATTATTTTAATTATTTTATATTCACTTTCCCCTACATTAAAATATTTCATTTATTTTTCATCATTATTGTTATTTAATTATTTTGTACAGTTGATTTTAATTCATTTTACTTTTCTTTTATTATTTTATTTTCCTTTAATTGAGTTTCCTTTATTTTTTTATTTTACCTGATTTGATTTGTTTTAATTACTTATCATTATTTATGGGTAGTCATTATTTATTTAATTATTGACAAGAATTATTTACTGTCTGAATTATGATTTTAACTTGGATCAGATTAAAAGAATTCAATTTTTAAAATTTTTTATTTCATTTGTTTTCATTTTCCCTCATTATTATTCTATTCGTTTGTTTCAATTTCATGGATTTTCATTTCTTCTTTTTAGTTTTAGTTTATTTGGTTTTCATTTGTTTCGGTTTCATTTAATTCAACAGATGAACTGAATTGGAAGGGACCTTGTAGGTCATCTAGTCCAACCTCCCCAACACACCAAAGCAGGAGAGACCTTACTACACCATTTCTGACAGATGGCAATTTAATGTCTTATTTTATTTCCATTTCATTCTGTTTAATTTCATTGAATGTCTTGATTGTATTTTCTTTGTTTCTTGGCAGTTTATTTTTATTTTATTTTAACAACTCTTATCTTGATTTCGCTTCCCGGGGTGGGGGGGGTAGGATCCGGCCCACCCAGTTTCCAACAGGCCATTAAGGCTGACCAGCAGCTCCAAGATGCAACCGACAGAGCTGGCGGCCCAGAAGATTTGAAGGACCCAGCCAAGAATTGTCCAGGTGAGGTGGCTGTCACACCTGAGAATCCAGGGACTCATACGGTGCTGTAATTTGCTCTGCCGTGCCTATTGTGATGACCCAAAGGGGTGTGGCACAAAGGCCAACACAGTCACTTAATAAGAGCCCCTTTATTAGCTCCAAACTTTGCCCACCCCCCTCCAATGTCCTGGTTACCTTCTGGGCTGGAGAAAAAAAACTCTCCCAGGAAACAGCCTTTGGGCTGCAGAGAATCAAGTCCAAAACATGGTCAACACAAACTGTAACTATAAGTTCAATCAAGGCAAAAGGAGGTAATTAGTCCGGCAGGACAGGAGCAAGAATTCTAGATATGAAGGCACAGCTGTAATTCAACAAGGTTGAGAAGACGCCAGTAACGCAGACAATCAAAGTCAACCCAAGATAAACTCACGTTTGTTCCCAGGAGATGCCGCACTCAGCTTGCATCTCTTTTAAACTCCCCGTCCCATCTGTAGCTACTCAAGGGAATCATGGCCCTTTCCTCCCCCTCCCCGTAGGCCACACAACCCACATCTCTGTTCCTCCCTGCATGCCCTAGGATGAAGAGGGGGTGGGCCTGGGTGTTCCCTCTGAACTGTTTCTCCCTTGTTCTACCTCTCCCCTGCTCTGCCCAGCCAGACTTTGCCCTCCCTCCCCCCATTTCCTTCACAGCCAACAAAGCCACATTCCCGCTCCTTGTCAGCCACTCGTCTTCCTCCTCGGGTTCAGACACCGACAGGGGCATGACACCTATCAGCTGGGTTTCAAACAAAGGAAATGTAGGACAGACTAGTGCAGCGGCAAGTGGGCGGGGCCAAGTCATTGCCGGAACAACCGGTTTGTCTGAACCAGCTGAATCCCACCCCTGCTAACCCAACTCTCTGGGGCAAAGATGGCCATTTTCCAAGTTACCGAATGGCAATTTGCGATCACCCTCAATGCCAGGGCTGTAGGTAATCCCTCTTCATTAAGGGCCCTGCGAGGTAGGCCTGGCTAAGCTACAGACTGGCCTAGTGTCCCTCCAGGGCTGACGGGGGAAGGAGGCCTTCACCCCAGATTCCCCCCTCATCCCATTTCTAATCTGGTCGGGCTGGGTTCCGTTTGGCGCCTCCTTGACTTTGCACCCCGTTTCCCGCAGGTGACTGGCTTATCCGGACGGTGAAGGTGGAAGCTGAGGATTACACAGAGTGGCCGGCTGGACTGAGCACGGAGGCACTGCTTTCGGGGCTGCCTTTGGCCAGCGCCTGCAAGTCAGAGGGCCGCATCCCGGGACCCAATTACAAGGATGGAGCCGCTGGGCTGGGAGAACTTTCTGGATTGGCTCTGCACCAGTGGCAGATGTTGAGCGAGGACAAGCCGTTGGGCTGCCCGCGCTGCGAACACCCAGCAGCACCACTTGGCGGGAGCCTCGGGGACCCCCGCCCGCGCCCCTTCGCCTGCCTGCAGTGCGGCAAGGCCTTTGGGAAGAAGGCACACCTGACGCGGCATGCCCGCGTCCACACTGGTGAGCGCCCTTTCGCCTGCACCCACTGTGGGCGCCGCTTCTCTCAAAAGATCCATTTGGGCTCCCACGAACGGGTCCACACTGGGGAGCGCCCCTTTCCCTGCGACCGCTGTCCCAAGAGCTTCCGCAAGAAGACCCACTTGGTGCGCCACCAGCTGACCCACACCGGTGAGCGTCCCCATGCCTGTACACTCTGCCCCCGCAGTTTCGTCCACCGCCGGCACCTGCTGCGCCACCAGAGGCTGCACGAAGAGGAAGCTGCCCGCGTTGGAGATCCTGCGGAGTTGGGACAAGCCGCCCCCTCGTACGGGAACGGCCTGGAGCTAGGCCTAGTGGGGAACGTCCCCCCGTCTGGAGAGAACCTGGCTGCCTCCATGGTCCTGGGACAAAACTGCCGGGTTCAGGGCGACCGTGCACAAGTCAGTTTCCCGTATGGGCCTGGGATGGAGCTGGGGAAGTTTCTCCCTTCCTGTGTGGGGCACATGGAGCCCGATCAGGGACCCTTCCTCTTTAAGGCCGAGCCAGAGCTGGGTGGTGTCCCAGGTGCAGAGAGGGAGGACCGGCCCCTGGGGGAAGCCTTCCTCGATCCCGCAAGTTGTAGAGCCCTCTGTGGGGTACAGACGGTGGAAGGTGCACCGTATTTGGAGCAGGTGGGCAAGACTGAGCCAGAGGAGGACACGGGGGCCAGTCAACCGCCGGAAGAGAAGCCATTCCTGTGCTCGGATTGCGGAAAAGCCTTCGCCTGGCGGAAGAACCTGGCGTCCCACCAGCGGCTCCACGCCGAGGGCGGGCGCCCCTTTTCCTGTGCTGAGTGTGGGCGGGGTTTCAGCGACAAGCGCCATCTGACGGCGCACCTGCGTGGCCACATGGGCCTCCTGCCCTATGCTTGTCCCCATTGCGAGCGTAGCTTTGCGCACCGGGCCGGGCTGGCTGCCCACCAGTGCGGGGGCCACACGGGGCAGCGCCCCTTTGCCTGCAACGAGTGCGGGCGCTGCTTTGCCCACAAGCGCCACCTGCAAAGACACTGGCGCAACCAGCACTCGGCTGAGCGCCCCTACGCCTGCGCGCAGTGCGGACGTGCCTTTAGCACCCGGGCCAGCCTGCTGGCGCACGTCAAGTCCCATGCTGGGCAGCGCCCCTTTGCCTGCCCTCTGTGCGGGCGCGCTTTCAGCCGCAAGTCGCACCTCGCCCGCCACGAGGCCGTGCACACGGGCCTGCGCCCCCACGCCTGCACCCAGTGTCCCCGCCGCTTCAGCTCCAAGACCAACCTGGTGCGCCACCAGGCGGTGCACACTGGCCTGCGCCCGTACATCTGCACCCACTGCGCCCGCAGCTTCAGCCGCAAGACCCATCTCTTGCGCCATGAGCGCACCCACACCAGCACCCCGCTGCCCAGCACCGCCGGTTGGGTTACCGCCCTGCCGCAGAGTTCCCTGCTGCAGCCGATCGAGCAGCGTCCGCCTCTCCTGTTACCCATGGCGCTGGAGTCTCCCTGGCAGTGAGGAACACCCCCTCCCCACACCAAATCCTGCCTGCCTCGTGCCATGGACGTCTCGTACCTTCAGCACCCTTCTTTCTTTCTAATCAGCCATTCGGCTATGGGGCGAAAACCAAAAACCCCACACATCCTGCAAGGGAAAAATGACATTTGCACGTCCTTGTGATTTGCAACTGTGTGGACCGTCAAACGGAGTCCCACCCCCCAACTTGTCCACTTTGTGGACTGGCGTGGCAAGTGGGAGTGGAGGATGGTTCCACGTGAGTGGATGGTGAGCTTCTTTTCCTGCAAGCCGTGGACGCGCACCTCCACTGCTCGTGTCAAGGCATGGAGGCCGCCGCGGCCTGGTTGTGAACGGATTGTGGACCGGTAACGCACCAGGGCCCTGGGGTTGGGGGGGACCCCTGCCGTAGCGCATCAAATGACTTAAATCCCACCTAATCTATTCCGACAGACAGTGTTGGACGGCCCCCCATTCTCCCTACTCCTTTTTAGCTCCAGTTGGGACCGACACAAACCCTGATTCCCTCATAACCGCAGTTGCGAAAGACTCACCATGCTTTGTGAAGGATTGCGATCCAGACACTGACCCAGGAGTCGGGAGAGGGGGAGGAGTGTTTTATGGCCAAACACCCATGATTGGGGTGACTTTGGGTTTTAAATAATAATGGAAACACTTGGTTTTATTTTGTGGGGGGGGAGAAAAATAAGAGTAGACAAATGATTTTAGTAGTGTCATAAAGCAAATATAAAGTATGTTTTGTAATGTTTTTCTTCGATGTAAACAATAAAAAAAATTGAATTCTGCCTGTGGTGGTGGTGGTTGTTTGTTGTTGTCCTTCCTCTTCTCCTCCTCTTCTCCTCCTCTACCTCCTTCCTCTTCTTCTCCCTCCTCCTCTTCCTTTTCCTTCTCCACTTCCTTCATCTTCCTCTTTTCCTTCTCCCTGCCTCCTCTTCTCCCTCCTTCTCCACCTTCTTCTTCCTCTTCTCCCTCCTCCTCTTTTCCCTCTCCTTTCTCTTTCCTCTTCCCCTTCTCCTTTTTCTCCCAGAACGAAACTGAGGTCAGTGAGATGTGTTATGCCTGTGTGTGTGTCATGTTTTTAAAAGTCAAAATATACTGAAATATAAAATATAAAGGAAGAACAGACAAAGGAAGGAATATATTTTACACCATTCTGGAATATTTTCAACCTTTTAGAACACTTTTTTTAAAAAAAAACCACCGGAAAAGCATTCAAATATATCTTCCAAAGCTGGTATGAAAGGCTTGGCTGAAGAAGACGTAGCCACGATTAAGCCACCTTTGGAAGAGGGCCCAACCCGAAGGACTTTGGAAGAGGAACGGCAGGGCCGCGACGGAAGAAGCTACGTTCATTCCCGGGAGGCCCGCCCCGTCTTTACAACCTCCATCGTGAAGCGAACCGCCTCCGTTGTCGGTGCAAGTTTGAGTTGCCCATCGTGAAGCAAATCGGGGCCCCGCGGACTTTGGCTCACCTGGAGCGGGGAGGGAATCCTCCCCCCCCCCGTGTTTCTCCCCCCTTCTCCTCTGCCCCCCCACAAACCTTCCAAACCTACCTGGCTCATTCCCAGCTGAACAGAGTTGGGAGGTCATCTAGTCCAACCTCCCTCCCCCCCCCACCTCCAGCCCAAAAATATAAAGGGCTCTCCTCCCACCCTCCCTTGAAAGCCCACCAGGAACAGCAAAATTCTAGCTGAGGGAGGAGGGGGAGGGAGAAGAAATGGAGCCTCCTCCTCCTCTTCCTCCTGTTTGTCAAGGATTTTCTCTCCCCCCCCCCACCGCCACCCTAGTTCAAACCCTTAAAAATAAGAAATAATATTAAATTAAATAATAAAGTAAAATAAAATATAAAATAAATAAATAAAATAAATATAATATGAAATAAATATAAAATAAAATATAATAAATACATTAAATCATTACATTACACTACATTATATTGCATTGCATTAAATTGCATTGCATTAAATTACATTGCATTGCATTGCATTAAATTGCATTACATTAAATTACATTACATTGCATTAAATTGCATTGCATTAAATTAAATTAATTACATTACATTTTTAACCCCTTTTTACCTGTGTCCTCCCCCCTCCCCCCCAATCCGCAGCTTGGAGTGAGGCCACGCTTCCCATCCTCCCCCTCCGGTGGGGAGGACGGGTAACGCGGCGGACCCAACCGAGGGGGCGGTGGGGGGAGAAGCTCCCTCCCAGGTTGCAGAAAGGCAATCAGGCCTTGCTGGGCAAGCAGCGCTGCTGCGCCTTTAACCTTCCTCCATGTCCCCCCCCCCCCACTCGTCCCGTGGCGCGCCCCGTTGCCTTGGCAACCCGGGCGTTTTCTGGGCAGGGCGGGGCCCCAAACCGGAGGGAGGAGGAGGAAGAGGATGGTGGAAGAGGAGCGAGAGGGTAAGGGAGAAAAAGGATGGGGGGGGGGGCGCCTGAAACCCGCCCCCTCCCATAAGAGACGCCCAGGAGGGCAGGGAGGATGCTTGAGATGATGCCAAAAAAATAGGGTTGCCATGGAGACGGCCAGGGAAGAGATGCTGAGGAAGGATGCTGGTGTGTGTTTCCCCCACCCTTTTCTCTCCCCCTTTGCACCTGGGGAGGGGGGAGGTTTGCCAGTGGGAGGGGGAGATAGGAACTCATCATCCGCCCCCCCCCCAATTGGTGGGGTGGGGAGGTGGGGAGAAGCATCCTTGAAGGCCTTCCTTAGCAACCGTCTTTGTTGTCGTGGGGAACGGTTACCGTGGCGCCTGGCAACCCCTTTGGTGGGGGAGGGTGGGATGTTTTTTTGGGGGGTGAGGCTTTTCTCTGCCCTCCCCCTTCACCTGCAAGGGGAGAGGGTGGGCTGGGAGCCAAATAACCAGCCCCCCCCAATAAGGCAATATCTCCCCCAACCTCCCCACCCCCAAATTCGGGGGCTTAGATAGAGAGCTACCAGGCCGAGCCACCAAGCTTGAGGACTAGCGCCATGGACAGGCCAGGGCTAGTGGGTTTCCCTGAAAAGAGCCTTGAAAAGAGATCCCAATCGGTTTGTTGGGGAGCGAGACTGGATTCCTCCCCC